TCTATATAGTGTTATATTTTAGGGGGGAGGCTATAACAAGCTGTCTGTATAAACACACAGACACACAGCACTACACTGTCTCTCATTCAAACACATACACAAACATAGACAGCACCAAACAAACAAACAAACACACACACACACACTTAAGCCCTTGCAACAGGGAGAGATCGCGCTGAGCGGAGCAGAAAAACGAAAAAAACTTAAAAAAAAAGAAGCACTTTTCTGACGGTCCCTTACTGAGAGCTCCTCTCTAAACATATATTGGGAGGGCTTAAACGGAGCAGTGCTCGTAATGTCGAGCGAAAAAAAAAGAAAGACAGCTGTAAAACATAACCAGCTTCGTCTTTTTGTAGGAAACACACTTTAGATCTTTTTAGGGTAAGAGGTTTTTGAGTTATTGCCATCTATAACTGAATGTGTGTCAGGAAAATCAAAAACAAACCAACTGAACCGCGCTCCTTTCTGGTGCCCCCCTAGATTTACAGCGCCCTTAGCATTTGCCTATGGTGCCTATGCCACGGGCCGGCCCTGAGTTGCCTGAGTGTTGTAAATACTCGCGTTCACCTCCCTCGCGACAGAGCGCATAGGAGATAAATGACGTCAGTACATAATAACCGGTTAAGATTATTACTGAACCGATACAGAATTGTCTGCGTCTGCATCGCGATGCACCGAAGAAACAATGAATTTTGACACCCCTACTCCATATTGCCTCTCTTCAAAAGATACGGAATATTAACGGAGTTATGTGGAAGTAGATGAATGTTGCAACATTTGACGCAACGTTTCAAAAAGACAGAAAGTAAATAAATGCCAGACAAATATGACACAGGTAAAAGCGTCTTACGTCTGTTCACATGCACAATACATGAAGGAAAGCATTTTGAGTGGTTTAAGTGTGGATGATAGAAAAAAATATTAGTGAATATGGAGCGTTTTTAGATGAAAGCGCCATTTTCAAATTTATTAGATTAGTGTAGACTAAGGTTGTCACGATACTAGAATTCGATACCAATCGATACTGAATATTTAAAAACATCCATTTCCCACAAACATTTGAACGCTAACATTCAGCATTTGAAAGCCTCAAAGATCAGCTGGTTTGTTTATAAGCTGACATTCGAGCGATCCACTGATGAATCGTGACTTTAAAACGATTCATTGTCCCTGTATAAGCAGTTACACTCAGTAAATATCAGTAAGTTCGGTGAACTGATGACCTTCACGGCCAATCACAGTCATTTCTGTTGAGCACATGAAAACAATGGCAAATCAGCAGTGTTTAAGAAGGTGCTCAACAGCACTCAAATGTTAGTGGGAAATGGAAGATTTTAAAAATTCAGTATCAATTGGTACCAAATTCCAGCATCGTGACAACTCTAGTTTAGACGTAGTCTTAGATCGTTGGAACTTGAAAATTTAATAAAAAGCACTGTTCATATGATCAAGATGGTGAACTGTAGACAAACTTCATAAATTTATTTATGTAATAATAGAAATGTTGTTTTATATACAGCTGCGGAAATCTCCAACCAGAGCCAATTACATTTTTCTTTTGGATATTAGCCGCCAGTTTATCAGTATTGACATTTTTCTTTTCTCTGTGAGTTATTAAATGGAAACAGTGCTCAAATTTTAATATGCACATAAATTTATTTCACATCTTTGGATGGAAACATAACTATGTTAGAATATAATGTGATTTTAGCACATTTTTGCACATTCAATTACATAAGCTTAGTCTACATGATACATGTACTAGTACTACAGTTGTTTTAATCTTAAATGCTGATAATATTTAATATTTGATTCATTGCACAAAACTGGGTAAGATGTAAACCAAATATTTTTTAATACAAATATATGAATCTAGAAAATATTGAGATATATACTGTACATCACAATTTTTAGCCATACTACCCAGCCCGATCAAAAACAACAACGTGCAAATCTGATGCGATTAGAAGATTCATTCTGAAGCTTCAGTGATCATAACAGTTTGTTATGAGTTTTGCGAAAATGCATTATTTTTTCCAGTATACAAGTTGTGTCCTGTTGTTTGCCGTCAGCTAGTGAAGAGGATATATACTGGATTTATGCAAATATTTGATGCATTTACATAAAAACGTTACAAAAATGAAACAGGCATTCCTGATGACTCAACTCAGCAATCCAGAATCAATTCTTTTATGCGATACTCCATCTGACCCTCCAACTGTTACTTAGAATCCATTGCGTTCTAAAGTTCCCATGGTGACATGTCAAGTTTATCACATGACCCACCAGCCCCAATGATCTATAAAAATGTTTTATTTAGTTTATTTTTGCCTTTTTCTGTAATATTAACAAATGTTCTAATTAAATTGTGAAGTCCCTGATACGCTGATTCTCAAATTTGTGATTGAACATACATTTTGCCTTTTAAAGAGCTCAATAATGATCATATTATTTGTTATGTTATGTGTAATGGGGGCCGCAGTTGTTGCTAGAAGGGATACAGCAGAAGGGATGCAGCGTGGTTAATTCTAGATGTGATACAGCTGAGGTTACTCGCATAAATATGGAATCATTTTTGTGACACTGTACAACAAATAACATTTTTATATTACCGTAAGAGTTAGTTTTAGGTGGGGGTATATGCTACTATAATACAATTTAAGTGTAGCTTAATAAATAATAGAAATACTTCTCGTTAACTTCCAATCAAATCTGTATCCCTTCTAGCAACAAATGTTTTGATTTGAGCGGCTGGATTTACATCATGTTTATTCATAATTTTATTCCTAAATACATAAAGATAAGTAACTGTTTATCTGGGAGAGGAATAAAGAAAATAATCTAATAACATAAACGGTATGTAAGTTTTGTGAACAAAGGACATCATCCAGTTATATTGAAAAATAATTATTATTGTCCTCTTCATAGACATCCGCGTGTATTTTAAAAACCTTAAATGTTATTCTTTAAATGTAGTTATGAGTATTTTAATGTCTGAAACCTAAAAGAAAGGTTATTTGTTTGAAAGCACTGATAAATTGTGATTTATGACAAGTGCTGCGCACCTATTTCTGTGCCTCAACGAACGCCGTCCGATTAGAATTTTTGCAGTCGATGACGTGCACTCTGAATGTTCTAATCACACCGGTGTGATTGTATGCTTCAGGGACCAGCCAAGGCTGATCACACCAGTGTGATCATACACGTGAAAGGGTTAATGATATTTTTATAGATTTATATATATGATGATAGATTCATTTATCACTGTGTGAATTTTAAAACATTGCAAACCTTTTGCACCCAGACAGCTGTTACACGCTACATGAAATGTAGTATTCTAAAAAAGCACAACAGGGGAACTTTAAATGCTGTTATCACTATTACTGAAACTTCACAGTATATAATGTGGCTATTTTTTTAAGTGTTGTCAAGGAAAATTAAAACAATCCTGTCAAAATATACGCAGAAAGAATTAATTAATTAATTAATTACTTAATGAGCAACAGGAATATTGTTTAAATTTGAAAATAATGATCACGATGACATCAAGAACAGCACAGTAGCCAGATCTTAACGATAGAGGAGATTAATGCATTAAATAGCTTGAAAAGGTCATTTGATAAGGCATAATAAAGGAGGAGATCCACATATTAACTGTGTTGGCTGGCTGCGGAAGATATTATCTTGGGACGAGCGAATGTTCAACTAATATTAGACTTAACTGGGTCAAGTATAGTTACTTCCCAAATACGTCCTAGAACCTCTCGACTGCTTGATATAAAAATAAAGAAAGAAATCTATTTCCTCAATAAAGGTCTGGTTCCTGGAAAGTGATTAATCTGTTGCAGACAGCATTTACACCAATGTTGCAGTATTGACCTTATTCTGCGATGTAGTTTTTGCGATTGTTTTAGAACTCAGTTACCAATTGGAGAAATTACCAGGAATAACAAATAACAGAAAAACAGTCAAACCACGTGCTCTACACACAAGTGTCTTCATGAATATAATTGAAAAGTAGAATAATGCAATGAGATAATATCAGATTGCAACATCAAGCAGCATAAGGAGCTGTTTTTAATATCTTAAAATCAATGGAAGTGAATGAGACCGGAAGTCTCGATCCAAAAAGATTCAAATGGCGGCGCCTGTTCATACATGACGAATAGGCTCAATGGTACAATAACAGAGTTCAATGTCATCCAACATATGTATTGGCCTCATTTCAGCTGCACGTGTACAAAATATTCAGAAAATGCATTATACAAGAATAAAAAGTAGGTACGTCCTTCAGGAATCCAATGTAGCATGAATGTAAAGATTAAACCAGCTAAATGGCAAATATTGGATCAGTACTCTTATTAGGGCTGCACATTATACTGTTTCAGCATCGATACCACAATGTTTGCATACACAATAGTCACATCACAAAGATATGCAATGTTAAGTCTGGATTATAGTTAACCAGGAGCGACAGAATTGTATTTTATTTACTGTATTTACATGGATTTTATGCAAAAAAAACCCTGTGGGTTTGTTTATGTGCTTTCAGAAGCTACAAAATAGTCACTATCCAACACCATTATACAGGATGGAAGAGCCTGAATAAATGTAAAACTACTCTGACCGTGTTTGTGTGACAGGAAAAAAGACATATACTTATATTGAGGATGACTTGAAGGTGAGTAAATCATGTGGTTGTTTTAAATTTTTGGGGTGAACTATTTCCATTAAATGAATCCACTTCACAGACAAAAGAAGCTATTCCATACTCTTGAAAACCTGGAGTTCGAGACACGCGAACTAATCATGCTAAATTAAAACCAAACATGATATACAGCCAGCTAATAGCTAAAAAGTACAATATTCAAATTTTTATTGTCAATGTCTTCTCATTCTATCTGTGCACTGGAAGCTTCTGTCACCAAGACAGTTTTGTGAAAGCTTGCCAATGAAACTGTTGAGTTTATAAAATAAATGTGAGAACAGCAGAGCCTTACCTGTGTGACTTGGTAGCTCAAGCTTGGGTTCACATTTTGGAAGAGAGCAGTCTGAAAATACACAGAAAGAGAAAGGTTAGATAAAGCACATCCTCAATCTTTTCCTAGAGATGAAAGGCTTTCATAAACACTTTGAAGTAAAGTTTTGAACAGGCGTGGAAATCATTCATCGTGAAGGTATACATCACGGTCCACCACAAAACATATACTGTAGAATTTAGTAGTGTGACAGGAAGTGGAATGATCAATGTTTAGAAAACCATTAAGGATCAATAAAACACTTAAAGGTTGCCTTAAACCTCTATGTACAGCTGAAGAATGATTACACCTAAATTATTAGCCCCCAAGTAGAAATATTATTTTCAACACATTTCAAAACATATTAGTTATAATCATTTCTAACTGATTTCATTTATCTTTGCCATGATGACAGTACATAAAATTTCAACCCATTCTGATTACGTACCCCTATATACATTTCTGGAGAGTGCCAAATACATACCAGGAGCTACGTTTTTTGCAGTTTTTGTTTTCAAGAATTCACAAGAGGGCGCTGTGAACGCTTTTTGAGACCTCAAATTTCTCTCAGGAATGATATTTGAGGCTGCTATTGTCACGTAAATCCAGCAGTAGCTGCTGTCAACTGACTTACCGATCGACCCATCCCCCCACCCTACCCCTTCCCTAAACCTAGCCGATAGTGTTTTAAAAAGCACCAATTGACCTCCCCACCAACCCACTTCCCTAAACCCAACCGCATTGTTTTCAAAAGCAATTCAAAAAAACTAAAGCCCTCACAGCAGACTTGATTTTTACCATGTTTTCAGATTTACCACATTCTCACCCTGATATTTACTTGTTTATTTTATTTTTTGGCTTTTGTTTTTGTCTTACTTGCTTTCTGGAATCGTTCTCGTTCTCGAACCATTCACGAACCTTGTCATTACAGTCAAGTCCGCTCTGTGTATCAAGTCCGCCGACATACATGGCGAGCTACTGGACAAACTGGTAATAGCCGAAAAACCATCCATATGGAATTAAGCTGTCAGCTGGTAAGCGCAAAAAGCAACGGCATCATACTGCCCCATAGTTTTAGAGAGGAAATCCAGCCATACGTACTTCTGGCTACATAATTTGCTATCTTCAGAAATGTATATAGGGGTACGTTTTCAGAATGAGCCGATGTTGTAATATTTTACTAGATATTTTTCAAGATACTAGTATGCAGCTTAAAGTACAATTTAAAGGCTTAACTAGGTTAATTTGTCAAGTTGGGGAAATTAGGCAAGTCATTATATAATGATGGTTTGTTCTGTAGACTATTGAAAAATATATATTGCTTGGGGGGCAAATAATTTCGACCTTAAAATGGCTTTTAAAAACTTAAAAACTGCTTTTATTCTAGCTGAAATAAAACAAATCAGACTTTCTCCATAAGAAAAAATATTATAGGAAATACTGTGAAAAATTTCTTGCTCTGTTAAACCTCATTTTGGAAAACTTGAAAAAAAAGGATGGCTAGTAATTCTGACTTCAACTGTATATCTATACTGTGTATCAATCTGACTCAAATTCTCTAAAATATAAAGTCATGCAAAAATATCTATTTCATCGCAGTTGATCAGCTGCTGCCTGACCCATCATTATTGACCAGCAGTTTACTTTAAACAGAGACCAGCATTTGTGACTACCAGTAATAAGTAATTCCTGTTGCTATGCAGTACCCATCACACATTTAATTTATTGAATAATCATTAAACAATCAATAAAGATGAAAATCATGTGACCATAAGCGTTTTCAAGGTATACCGCGGTTTGGAAAACATTTTCTGCTATACCATTCCTGAGGTATATGTAAGATTTTTTATTTATCTTTTTTTAAAGACAACAGTGTCTCCAGTAGAAAAAATATACAAAGATGCTGTTTTAAATAGTAAAGAAAAATGTTTTAAAGCTAATGAAGACAGCAGAAGTCAATGATTCATTTATTTATTTAGTCTGACATGTTTACTGCTCCAAAATATTATAAATGTTTCTCAAAATAAAATATATTGTGTTCAAAAAGAAAAAAAAAAAACTTTTAGTTTTTTTTAACCCAGACATTTAAAAATAATATGATTTAGAACAGTAATAACAATACCATGAAGACTAAATAAATAAATGTTCAATGCAAGAGTTTTTGAAGGGAAATAAGTGGAATGTTATGCAATGGCCAAGTCAATCACCTGACTTGAATCCGAAAGAGCTTGCGTTTCATTTGCTGAAGACAAACTGAAGAGAAAATTCCCCAAGAACAAGCAGGAACTCAAGACAGAGCACTGGTAGAGCACCACCAGGAATGAAACTCAGCATCTGGTGATGTCAATGCGTTCCAGACTTTAGGCTGTAACTGACTGCAAAGGATTTGCAACCAAGTATTAAAACTGAAAGTTTAATTTATGATTATTATTCTGTCCAATTACTTTTGGACCCTTAACAAGTGGGAGGCACATATGCAAACTGTTGTAATTCCTAGAGCGTTCACCTGATTTAGTAAATACCCTTACATTAAAGCTGACAGTTTGCAGATAAAGTACATCTTATTCATTTCATTTCAAATCGATTATGTTAGTGTATAGAGCCAAAAACATTACAATTGTGTCGAAGTCCAAATATTTATGGACCTAAATATTTATGGAGCTATATGCACTATATTCCAAATATTCGCCATTGCACATCCAAACATTAAGATGTCCAAAGATAGGATTCTCGTTTTTTTGTCAATTGTATATTTTTATATTAAAATTTTCATGTCTGTGTCATAATTACACAAGCTACACCTCAGTAAAAACTGCCTGAAATCCAGTAATGGTAAACATTTATTCAAGCCTGGGGTCTTTTCTTTTGAGAAGAGACCACTGGTCTACGCCACTGCCACATCACCCTTATCTGATCAAGAGCCGGTGCTCGTTCCAGCAGATGCTCCCAGATCAGCACCGACATTTGCCATGCAATATTGAGGTTAGGGTAAAGGCCATGAGCTCTGATGCAGCGTCAGTGAGAAAGGAGTGAGCTCTTATCAGTGAGCGTCAGTCCTCAGTGTGTAATAAGGGGGGATTTTGGCTTAGCTTCACTAGCGGTTGACTCTTTTAAATCAGATCATATCACACAGTCTCAGCGAACACTCAATAGGCAAAAGACCATACTGAATGCTGAAGCGCACACATGCTGGAGCAGTTTATCTGGACAAAAACTTGCAAGGGTTAAACCCCACTCGTGTGTCAAGGCTTATCTTGACATTTGAAGGCGTTTAAGCAAACACAACTATCAATTTATTTACCAAAATGTGTAATAAAGCCAACAGAATGGAAATGGGGAGATTATTAGAAGGATTGAAGTAAACTGGGTGAGTTTATTTGAAAACATTTGATAATGTGCAGACTTCTGCGGAATTGCAGGATGAGCGGTTTCAATTATGATATGAAAAAAATTGTGGGAACACTACAAAATGTGCTTATAATTTCCGCTTGTATTGTTTTTGCTATGAAAATGATGTGACTTCTTGAAAGGGGTCCTATTATGCTCTGCTATAAAGTCTTGATTTTGTTTGGGGGTGTATATGCTTCCATGCTTGGTGGTTTAAAAAAAAACATTCAAATTACAATTACTTGCAGCTTAGCAGAAATGGCTCGATTTTTTTTCTGATATTGATGAAGGCCCACCTTCCAAAAAACAAAATGTTTTGTGATTGGTTAGCTGTCCCAGTTCATTAAGATTGGCGAACAGCTTAAATTGTGTTTCAGTGTCTATTCTGTGGAGACTGAGCTAGAGAAAGATGAGATGAGTGCATTGCTTGTCAAAGACTAAAGCTAATCAATGTTCTCAATAAAATCAATGTTTCAATTTGCTTTGAGTTGCAGATATTTAAATACATCCTGTACGTTCTAGCAGAGCAAAGCATTTATTGTTTGCAATTAAATTAAATCTGTATTGACTGAATCAAGAATCAAATGAACCATCAAACCAAACTGAATCAAAAAACTTTTAAATCGAATCGAATAGGGGCATCTAAATCAATATTCAGCCCTAGCAATGATGATTACTTTACACATAATGTGATGATGTGTGGTGTTCCCAATACATACACAATGTTTAGGGAACTTGAATGCTTAATGTATTCTTTTCCTAGTTAAATAGACACTTACTTTCATGCATTTTAGTAAAAGTTGATGAGTTTATACTGTGAGGGTGCTTCACACCTATATATTGTTTGTTTAGTTCCGAAACAGGGATTCAAATTCTTATAATGTTGCTCTTTGTTCTTGATGCGGTTAGCTTTCACACGGCAAAGTTTCTAAAGGGACCAAAATAGCGAAAAAAAAAAAACTAATGTGCAAGTAAACTCTCCTCACATTGGTCAGTGTTCCACGATTTATTTTTCAAAGTCCCGCTCAGCTGTCATGCGTCGTTATTTTAATGTATAGCGATGAGCAATAAGACATTATAAGCGAAAAGTAAAAGTAGGGGTGTCAAAATTAATCGTTTCTTAGGTGCACCGCGATGCAGACGCGGACAATTCGGTATCAGTTCAGTAATAATCATAACCGGTTATTACTGACGTCATTTAACTCATATGCGCTCTGTCGCGAGGGAGGCGATCGCGAGTATTTACAACACTCTAACTACTTAAAACTCATAAACTGTGCACAATTTCACTGTGTGTGTTTGCTGGATCAGTCTTTCACTGACACATACAACAAAAGCCCCTATTTCACTGAGATTGAGAGAATGAAAGTACTCCATTTCTCTCTCTATCTGACTCATTTGACCTGCTGGCGTGGCTTTTCTTCTCCTCTCGGCTGTGTTACAGCGTTACTTCTGGATAAAGAAACGAGCGCGTGTCTGCAGAGTTTTCTCCACCGTGTCAATCATACATCAGCTCAGCTGTGAGATCGCCACCTCCGCCTGCCGCTCTGTGTCACTTATCTGAAGAGCGCAGCGCGCAAGATCCAATCGCAACCGTTTTTGTTGAGGGTGTGACCAATCAAAGAGGTGTAAGAGAACTAGACAAG